GCGCCGACGCCCCTCAATCCTGCTCTTTTCCTTCAATCGCTGCTCTACTACAGACTCTGCACATGGATATCTGGGGTACCGCCCCGGTCCAGGAGCTTTACAGGAAGCGCTACTTCCTCTTTGTTGTCGACGACTTCTCGTGGCTTACCACGGTGTTCCCATTGGAACGGAAGGCCGACATGCCTGGCGCCCTCCTCACATGGCTCCGCGTCTTCCGCACCTAGCACTACCTGCCCGTGCTTTGTCTTCACTCCGACCATGGTGGCGATTTTGTCTCCGGCCATCTTGGCGCGTTCTACCTTGTGGAGCGCATCATCCAGACGTTCACCCTCCCGGACTCACTGCAGCAGAATGAGGTTGCTGAGCGATACATCGGCCTAGTTATGGAGGTGGCTCGCACCTCCATTGTCCATGCCGGTGCCCCCCAATTTCTGTGGCCATTCACGACACGGTACGCATCTCACCAGCTTAACCTATGGTCTTGCTCCTCGCGGCCACAGGTTTTGCCGACCCTTTTTTGGTCTGGATCCCCTGATGACGCGTCCGCGTTCCACATCTGGGGCTGCCTAGCTCACGTCTGCGACACCAGCGCGGACAAGCTCTCGACCCTCACCCTCCCCTGTGTCTTCCTTTGGTTCCCGCTCGACTCTCCGGACTGGCTGTTCTACCACCTGGCGCAACACCGCTTCTTTCGCTCCCCTCTCGTTACGTTTGATGAGTCTGTCTCCTCTTACGCTCGCTTCCCTCACCATGGCACTCATGTTCCTCCTTCCCCCTCTCTTCCTTGCCCCTCCTCCGCCTGCCACTCCCCTCCCCTCCCGCGCGTCCCCGTCTGGTGTCTCCCATGCCACTCCCCTCCCCTCGGTTGGGCTTGTGGGGGAGTTTGCTGACTCTGGAAGCCCGTGACTAGGGATGCGCCTGCCGCAGCTTCGGCGCCCCTCCCCCTCCTTTAAGCCCTGGTGCCTCGGCACCTCAACAGTCTCCACCGCTGCCGTCGTCGCAACAGCAGCAGCGGCGGCAGATCGTGGGCCCTGGGGGTGGTGGTTCCGGGGGTGCTGGCTCTAAGGGTGCTAATTCTGGGGGTGCTTTCCCTAGGGGTACTGAATCTCGGGGTGCTAGTCCTGGGGGTACTATTCATAAGGCTGCTGACTCAAAAAGTACTGGCGGTAGCAGTGGTGGGGCTGGGGGTTCTGGCGTGGGCCGGGAGTATCGGCAGCAGTAGCCGCAGCAGCTGCAGCAGTGTGCCCTTTGTCTCCTCAACCTTTCCTCCGGCTCCTCTGACCACCAGCACGTGCCTCTCACAGCGCCTCCCCTCCTATCTGCTCCCGTCTACGACCCGCTGTTCCCTCACCTGGACTCAACCCCGGCTCATTTCCCACCTTGTTCTCCTCCGTCCCCTGTTGCCCAATCGTGGGTGCGACGTCCCCCTGGTGGTCGTCCTGTCTCTCCTCGTGCTTGTGTCCACCCTATGGTCCTCTGTTCTTGTGATCCTCTAGTCCTTGTCCTTCCGCTACATCCCCAGTCCTTCCTTCCCTGTCCTCTGCTCCTCCCTCTGACTCTGCTCGCACAGCTCGTCCAGTCGTCTCCCGCTTACTTGCCTCTCTTGTTACGGACCATATGGCTCCTCCTGCTGTTGAAGACTTTGCTGCACGCCACCACCTTGACTACGCCTCTATTCTGATCGCTGACCCTGCCCATCCTCTGCCGTCGGAGGTGCACCTGCCCTTGGCAATGACGTTCTAGAGGATAGGTGGTACAAGCTGGCTTTCCTTGCGGCTTCTGTACCTTATCTCTGCGCCATGCTTGTTTCCCTTGAGGGTGATCCAGACACCCTGGACATCCCTACCCTGCACTCGTACGGTAAAGTGGTCTCAGGTCCCTGGGCAGCCCAGTGGATACAAGCCATGGAGGCAGAGATGGCATCTTGCGTCGACACAGTTCCTTTACCTGGGGCGAACATAGTCAATGGCATGTGGATCTACAGTATAAGGTGAAGCGCCCACCTGAAGAGCCGCCGCAGTTCAAGGCGAGGCATGTGGCCAGAGACTTCTTCCATAACTTCTCCCCCACCCCCAAGATGATTTCTCTTCAGGTGCTCCTCCACTCAGCCGCACAGCATGACTACAAACTCCACTCACTGGACTTCTCGACAGCCTTCTTGGAGGGCAGCCTACATGAGCAGATCTACTTGCAGCGCCTACCAGACTTCACCAGGTCCTTCGATCCTGGGACCGAGTGGAGCCTACGACGCCCTGTCTACAGTCTACAGTAGGTGCCCCACGAGTGGCATGACACGCTCCGCACTACACTCATGGCTCTCCAATTCTTCCCGTCCTTTGCTGACCCCTTGCTCTTTATTCGTGCTGGTCAGACTCATTTCTACATTTTTGTGTACGTAGACAGCCTTGTGTGTGCTACACCAGATAGGGTCGCACTGGCCTCAGTGAAGGCCGAGCTGCTCAGGCGACATGCCTGCACAGACCTGGGAGAGCTGCATCGCTATTTGCACTTAAGAATCTCTCGTGATCGTGCAGCTCATACGACCACACTCTCCTTGTCCTACATGGTGGAGCAGGTCCTCCAGATGTTTGGCTTTCAGTTCTCATCGGCACAGCCCACTCCCCTGCCTGTGGACCACAAGCTCTCAACTCCTATTTCCAGTGAGCAAGTCGAGCCCACTGGTCCATATGCAGACCTAGTGGGGTGCTTCATGTACGCGCACAGTATCCTTACTCGCTTCGTTGCGACTGGCAGACGCCGACTAGAGCACTGGTCTGCTGCCAGGAGGATCTTGCGGTATCTCGCAAGTATATTAAGACTAGGGCTTGTGATGAAAGGACGGGAGCCAGTGGTCCTCACTTGACATACAGACGCGTGGTGGGCTGAGGACCTGGAGACGCTCCGGTCCTCACAGGGCTACGAAATCAGCCTTGGTGCAGGTGCCGTCTCGTGGGGGTCCACTCGGTCATCATCTGTAGCACAGTCCAGTTGTGAGGCAGAGATCTACGCTGGTGCTATGACGGCTCACGAGCATTGTTGGCTGACGTTCATGCTCATTTACTTAAGTGAGCGGCCTAGGTCTGTCCCGATCATGTTTGCTGACAATAGGGCCATAATCCTCCTTTATCAGGAGGCTCGAGTTGAGGGCAAGGCCAAGCACATCCAATTATAGTACTTCTTGCTGCGTGGGTTGTAGCAGTGCGGCTAGGGCCCGCATAGTAAAGTTGGCCTCAGAGGCCAACACTGCTGATATCTTCACCAAGGTCGTTGGGCTTTGTGACCATCAGCGGTTCTGTATTCAGCTTGGTTTACTCCCTGTTGCCTCACACTTGCTTGTATCCTGATCTGTACTATATCGGTTCTATATATGTATCGTATTTCGGTTGTCTTGTTACACTTGCTGACTGGCCTTCTGGCCCTTGTCTTAGTGGCCAGATTGGTAGTACCAGAATCTGCCCCTACCTATCCTAGGGGGTGTGGTTGCGTGCATATTTGTATGTACTATAGTCTAACTAGGGCCAACTATAGAGAGTACAGCATACATATAGAAACCCTATCCTGCATGTGCCTCACCAATTCATTCTCTGAGTTTCACAAAAACACCCTAGGGTGTTTTTTTAACTCGTAAAATTTGGAGGGGGTATACTTAATGGCACATTTTGTAAACACCTAGGGGCAATGGAATGTCACTTGAATGTTTCTGAACATGTATTGAATTCTGTAGTACACAGAGTTCTTCTGAGCCAATTTTTTATGATTCTCGCACGTGATCACGTATATGGCAAGGAGGACTATCCCCATGCCACGTTGCAGGCAAACTGTGCGTAGTCACATGTTTCCTACGTTATACAACCAATAGGGGCATTCTATCATTTTGTGGTGGCGACCTCCACGCCATAATGTGACAGCGCACGGATTCTCCCGCGCTACATGGTCGTGCAGGCTCTATCATGGACGGCTCGTGTGGGGGAGTCGCCCACGTCCCCTCCATCCCCTTCAAGCCTCTCTTGCTGAGGGTATAGGTGGTTTTCCCACATTCATTTCGCGTTTTGGAGCTAGGATGCCTTCAAGACAGCCTGTGAAAGGGCTGTTGAGGGCATCCTTCCCCTCACTCAGTGTACTGTAGCACTAACTTGCTACGGCCAGTGGCTCGGGTCTAAGCCGTCTCCTCACTCAATGTGCCCTTGTGGCCGGCAGACCCTGTTTCTTCAAACAGCTCGCCCTCCCATTTCATCGCCATCCCACAGACCTCTCCGCACCGCCAGCGATGCCAGCACTCATGGGGCAGCAAGGGTCGTGCTCCTCTTCCTCGCGTCCAGGTCTTGAGGTTTCCGTTACCGATTTGGCGCCAAAGTTCTCCATCCCGGAATCAAGATGCTACACCTTGTTAGGATTAAGGACGGAGTCTAGGTGAACTTAGGAGCTAGAATTACTCAAAATATAAATCCGAAATTCTGGACAGAAAAGTCATCTTCACAAGAAACAACGTCGACAAAAAACTAGCCGTTGGAATATCGCGAAACTTGGAATGTTGTAGCTTGTAATTGTAGCTACCGTTCTCAATTTGAATTACGTCTATTTATGGAGTATTTGCGACGCTATGTCTTTCGACGCACTGGGGAGTAAGCTGTTGGAGGAGTACTTAACTCAATCTCAAAAGTTCAATAAAAGTTCAAGAATCTCACAAGGAATTAGAGGAGCAAGAGAAAGGTTGGGATGGGAAGAGAGGGACAAGAGGGAAGGTCCCAAGAGAGTCCCCAACCAAGGAATCCCCATAAGCACAAAGATTTCCCCCCTATAGGAACCCCAACTTTGACATTTGTCCCTTCCCAACCAATCCATCCAAGTTGGCCACCCTTGCCAACCTAGCTTGGTTGTTCCTAACCAATTTGCAGCTGTTACAGTAGAGTGACGAATTTCCCCAACCCCAAAGATCCCAACTCCATATAGAGTCACCCCACAACTTCACTTTGTAACCGCCGCAATTGTAACGCAAGCTCATGAACTTTGAATCTTTATAGCTTTCGCGTTCTTGCTCCGATTGAAGGGATTCTTGTTGCGTCGGAAAGATCTTCTCAAGATCTATCATCACAAATACCTGCTCAGACAGAATAACACACCACACAAATTCTTTCACACAGAGTCAAACCATACATGCGAATTGAAACAAGGGATGGGAGGCAGACAGAATGTGATAGCATATGATGACATTACACAACAATCTCCCCCTCTGGCTGCCAACCATCATCCACCATACCAACATCTCAAGCATGCATACTCAATGCACACTCATCCCAGCAAGCTTCATGCCCTTCCAATGATCCGCCTCCGCCAGGCGCTTAGTGAAAATATCTGCTGCCTGCTGATGGGTCTTTACTATCTCCAGCCACACCTCCTTATCCAGGAGTCTCCTCACCCAATGCCACTTAGGCCTTATGTGCTTTGTCAGCCCATGCAGACAAGCATTCTTGGCGAGCTTCACAGCAGACTCATTGTCACAAAAGATCACCGTCGGCTCCTTCTGACCAACTCCCAACTCCTCCAGCAAACGCCTCAGCCATACCACTTCCTTGACCCCATGGTGTAAGGCCATGTACTCAGTCTCACATGAGGACAATCCCATCTCATTCTGCTTCTTGCTGCGCCAGCTCACAGCACCACCTCCTAGCAAGCACACATAACCCCCAATGCTGGTGCCATCCGCTTTCACTGAGTTGAAGCTAGCGTCAGTATAGCAACTCAAGAGCATCTCTCCACTCTTCACATCTGCAGCACCTCTCTGCAACCGCTGCCTCACTCCACTGTACTCCAATCCCACTGATGCCGTAGCGCTCACATAGCGGACCAACCTCTTGGCCGCTTCCAGCTGCTCATGACTAGGGCGTGAGACCACACTAGCCAACCGTGATGTAGCAAATGCAATGTCAGGCCATGTATGATTTGCAGCATAATTCAGCGACCCAACCATCGAATGAAACAGCTTCCTGTCACTCTCACCCACTACCTCCTCATCAGCACATGGCTCCACAGTCAACCCCGAAGGTAGTGGTGTTGCTGGCTTTCTCCCATCTTGCAGCCCATACTTCTCAGCCAGCCCCTCACAGTACTTCCTCTGGTGCAACCTCAGCACACCCTTTTCCACATCTCTCTCCACATGCATCCCTAGGTAGTACTTCACCTCACCCATCTTGGAACACTTGAACTGCATCTCCAGCATCTGCTCTGCGCTGTCCAGCAAAGCAGTTGATGCAGAAAAGAGAAGGATATCATCCACATACACCAAGAGCATGAGGATTTCATCCTTCTCCTGCAGCAGGAACAGGCTGGGGTCACACTCACTCTTCTTGAAACCCCCAGCCAACAACGCCTCCTCCAACTTGTGATACCATGCACGAGGCGCCTGCTTAAGGCCATAGATGGCCTTCTTCAGCCTGCAGACCCTGCCGCTCCCATCATCCAGCCCCTCTGGCTGCTTCATGTACACCTCCTCCAGAATGATCCCATTCAGAAAGGCAATCACAATGTCCATCTGCCGTATCTTCCATCCTAGGAGTGCAGCAATCGCCAACAGCACCCTCAATGTTGTTCCTTTCCCTACAGAAGCAAACACCTCATCATAGTCCTTCCCCTTTGTCTGCTGAAACCCCCGTGCCAAAAGCCTAGACTTGTAACGGGTCAGCTCCTCTTCATGTCCATACTTGTGCCTGTAGATCATCTTGGAAGTGATTGCCTTCTTCCCATGAGGCAAGTCACACAGGTCCCATGTCTCATTTTCAATCAGGGACCCGAACTCCTCATCCTCACTCGCCTTCCACTTCTCCCCATTTGGTCCATTCAAGGCATCCTCTCGAGTCTTGGGCTCAGGGATTGGTGCCCAGTAGCAGTGAGCGATCTCATCTTCCTCAATCTGCTCAACCACACTCCCAGCCTGCACCACATTCGGCTTGCCTCTTCCCCCATAGGTCAGCCTCACCAGAGGGCGCACATCCCTCCTAGGTCGCTTAGGCGGGTGTGGAACTCGAGGTGGAGACTCATGCTGCTGCTGCTGCTGCTGCTCCACTTCAGCTGCTCCCCCTTCCTCAGTCACCCCAGACATCTCCTCCTCAGACACTGCAACCTCCACCTGTCTTGAAGGCTGCTGCACCTCATCTGCCTCCACAATGAGCGGTGTAGATGGAAGCTTCTGTTGCTGCTGCTTCCATTCCTTGTAGTACAGGGACTCAAGAAACTTCACATCCCTTGACACAGTCAGCTTCTGGGTGGTCAATTCCCATAGCAGCCACCCCTTGTGATCCTTTGCAATCCCCAAGTGCACACCCCATCTTCCAGAAGCCTCCAACTTCCCCCTTTTCTCCTTGGGCACATGAAACACCACCATGCACCCAAATGCCCTCAGCATGTTCACAGCTGGAGCACTCCCATACCACTTGGTATATGGGATCCACTCCTTATCCCCAACTGTAGCCAGCACCCTGTTCTTCACAAGGACGACTTGCCTCAGTGCAGACACCCAAAACGGATCAGGCAGCCCTGCACGCCCAAGGAGAGTGCGTGCCCCCTCCTGCAGGGTCCTGTTGAACCTCTCAGCCACACCATTCTGCTGCGGGTTGTAGGGCACTGTCAGTTGATGTTGGATCCCCTTCCTCTTCAACTCCCCCTCAAAATCAGCTCCAATGAACTCCCCACCATTGTCACTGCGGATCACCTTCACCTTGTGTCCGCATTCCCTCTGAGCTCTAGGCATCCACTCCTTAAGGACAGCCGCTGCCACCTCCTCCTTGCTCTTCAAAGGGTAAACCCACACTGCCCGAGTGTGGTCATCCACAATTGTCAAGAAATAGCGGCTGCCTGAGAGGGAAGGGGCTCTTGTGGGCCCCACCACATCCATGTGCACAAGTGCAAGTGGGGTCTTGGCTGGTCCTGTTGAAGGGGAACTTGGAGAACTTGGTCTCCAAGCATGTAGGGCAGCTCTCAATCTCCTTCACTCCCCCTTTCACCTCCAAGCCCTTCAAGCTCCCATCCTTCACCAACTTCTGCAGCATGGGGAAGTTCACATGACACAGCCTCTCATGCCATATCTCCCAATCGGCCTCACCACTCCTAGATGAAGCCTTGGCCCATGCCGCGCTCGCATCCACACCAGCAAGCACCTCGCCATGTGTCAGCTGCTTCTGCACTTTCTTGACTGCTTCCAGGACCCCATCAGTTGGTGCAGTTGCATCTCCTCCTGCTGCTGCCTTTGCCGCTGCTGCTGTTGCTGCTGTTGGAGTCTTCCCATTCCAAGGGATGATGGGCAGCTGCCACAGGTCCTTGATGCAGCTGGTCTCCACTTCCAGACTCCACAGAACCTTCTTCCCAAGTTTAGCACGGCAGCTGGTTGGTCCAAAGGTCACTTCGGCCTTACTCTTCTGCAACCGCCGCACAGAGAGAAGGTTAGCAGACAGACCTTCAACCAGCAGAACATTCCCAGGCCCCACAAGTTCCCCATTAGCTCCCTTAACCTTGGCATTCCCAACACCAATGACAGGGAGCAAAGCACCTGACGCTGCTGCCACATACTTGATCTTCCCAGGGGGTTTTACCTCATCAAGCAAATCTGCCCGTGGGGTCATGTGACTGGTGCAACCTGAATCAATCACCTAGTGCGTGAGAGGGTGCATCACAACCTTTCCCACAGATCCCACATCACCCTCATGCCCATGCACATCCTCAACCATGAGAAACATCCCAGGATATGTATTACCTTGTGCACCTGAGCCTTGCACAGCGCCATCTTGTGCGCGTTCACCACTTGGCGGCTTCATGCCTGGAGGTGCCCATCCCTCTAGCCTGCTGAAGCACTTGAACCAAGGATGCCCGACCTTCTTGCAGTAGCAGCAGGTGCCCTCCATTCTGGTACTCCCCCTGCCACTAGAGCTCCCATGCCCCTCATTATAGTCACCTCGGCCTCTACCTCTGCCAAAGCTCCTCCCACGGCCTCGGCCTCTCCAACCCCCTCTTCCTCTGCCGTGCCCTGCAGCTCCATACCCCTCAGCAGTCTTAGTGGAAGCACCAACTCCCACATGGCGTCTGCGGAAGTCCTCCTGCAAAATCTGCTGCCTTAGCCACTCAGGTGTCCATTGATCTTGCTGAGAGTTGAGGGTGGGAATGAGGTTGTCCCAAGAGTTGTCCAACACCGAGATGACCTTGTGCACTGCTGCAGCTGAGATACACTGCTGCCCGCTGCTGCCATCCTTGCATAGGTGTCCTTGATCTTGTCAAGGACCGGCTTCACATCATCCCCTGGTCGCATGGAGATGGCAGCAAGTTCCTTCTTGAGCACGATCACCATCGGAAGAGTGTTGGGCTGGATCACATCGCGTAGTAGTTTCCATGCCCTTGGACCCGAATCATCCGCTTCCACAAGATCCTTGATGTGCTCGAACATCTCCTTGTTGACTGATTGAAGGATGAGGTCGAAAAGCACCGCGCTTTTCTCAATCCACCGTTCATGTGCTTCGCCTTCTTCCGGCATCTTCTCCTCCCCAACAGCAATCTTCAGTAGCTTGCAGCGTTTGAAGGCACTCCTCATCTGCCCGCTCCATTCCTCATAGTTGGAGCCATCCAAAGCTTCAACTTTTGATGGCGGCGGCTCACTTGGCTTCTCAGGAACAGCTCCTCTTTCATTAGCATCTCCTCCTCTCTCATTCATCTTCTCCTTGAGAAATGACGAATTTCAGCTCCCCTTTGCTGTCCACACTCAACTCCCTCGATATTTTCACAAGTGTCGGCGTCCACGAAATTTCGGCAGAGTTTCCCCTTAGCGGAAGACACATCCAACCTTTAGAACACCACTTAGGCACACCCACAGGCCATGGTGGGTCTAGAAGGGTCTTCAAACTTCTGTAGACTCCTCTTAATGTCCTTAATATTGCTCTGATACCACTTGTTAGAATTAAGGACGGAGTCTAGGTGAACTTAGGAGCTAGAATTACTCAAAATATAAATCCGAAATTCTGGACAGAAAATTCATCTTCACAAGAAACGACGTCGACAAAAAACTAGCTGTTGGAATGTCGCGAAACTCGGATATGTTGTAGCTTGTAATTGTAGCTACCGTTCTCAATTTGAATTACGTCTATTTATGGAGTATTCGCGACGCTATGTCTTTCGACGCATTGGGGGGTAAGCTGTTGGAGGAGTACTTAACTCAATCTCAAAAGTTCAATCAAAGTTCAAGAATCTCACAAGGAATTAGAGGAGCAAGAGAAAGGTTGGGATGGGAAGAGAGGGACGAGAGGGAAGGTCCCAAGAGAGTCCCCAACCAAGGAATCCCCATAAGCACAAAGATTCCCCCCCTATAGGAACCCCAACTTTGACATTTGTCCCTTCCCAACCAATCCATCCAAGTTGGCCACCCTTGCCAACCTAGCTTGGTTGTTCCTAACCAATTTGCAGCTGTTACAGTAGAGTGACGAATTTCCCCAACCCCAAAGATCCCAACTCCATATAGAGTCACCCCACAACTTCACTTTGTAACCGCCGCAATTGTAACGCAAGCTCATGAACTTTGAATCTTCATAGCTTTCGCGTTCTTGCTCCGATTGAAGGGATTCTTGTTGCGTCGGAAAGATCTTCTCAAGATCTATCATCACAAATACCTGCTCAGACAGAATAACACAAAACACATTCCCAAACTCCATAACACACCACACAAATTCTTTCACACATAGTCAAACCATACATGCGAATTGAAACAAGGGATGGGAGGCAGACAGAATGTGATAGCATATGATGACATTACACAACACTCCTCCCTCTCCGTGCAACATGATGACCAAGAAAAACCTCGCTCGTACACTGCGAAGAAAAAAATGTATTGGCTGCACATGTTCGACTCACAAGCCGACCTCTCTGTGCGTGCTTTGGCAAGGCTCGCTGGTGTGCAACCTATCTCCATCAAGGAATGGACGAAGGCTCGTGAGCAGCTTTACGTCGCTGCCGGCTGCCACAAGCACCTCGTCAGGGCGGCCGCCCGGCCAAATTCCCAGCGATGGAGCGCACCCATTACCGACAGTTCCTGAAGCATCACAGCAATGGACTCGCTGTCCCCATGAAGTAGCTGCAGAAGTGGAGCAAACTTCCGAACAGCGTTTCTAGTACCTAATCCACCGACCCTTGGCCTTAATCACCACCCGCACCCTCCTAGGTATGTTATCTACGAGGTTAGTGCAAACCTTTGCAGGGATCTTCTCGCACTATTCCAGGACCCAGCCGTTTGCGTAAGGGGGTGAGCACTAGGAAAATCGCGAAGGATTTGAGTGTATGCAAGAGTATTGTGCACGATTTCGAATTGAATGTTATCTCTGAGACTAGCCACGATAACGTGTGGCCAAAGATGCCATAAATCGATTGGTCACGTCTTATCATGGATCGTCTTCGTCGTACCGTTGTAGGGTAAAATTACGAACAAAGTGACGAAAACTAGTGTATACGCCGCGAAACTTAATGTAACATAACACAGTCAACTCTGCACCCTTTCACTAATTGAATCACGTTAAATTCCACGGGTCTCGTCACGGTGCAGCAGTCGAAGAAGCCCCGAATGGTGGGGAAGAATATCCAGGTTGAGGTCTGATGAGGAAGAGGCTCACTCCAGTGCTACACACTGATGCTCTCCAAGCCATTCCAAGCCTAGGCAGGACAAATGACTTGGAATGGCTTGGAGAGCATGAGACTGTTGCGTTGGAGTGACCCTTGTCCTCACCAGACCTCAACCCGGATATTTCTCCCGAACAGTCGCGACTTCTTCAACTGCCGCACCATGACGAGACCTACGGATCCTAGCATGATTCTAACAGTGCAAGGGAGCACAATCAATCGTGCTATATTACCCTCTGTTTCGTGGCGTATAAGTTAGTTTTCGCTGCTCTGTTTCTGGTTTTACCCTACAGCAGTACGAGGAAGACGACCCATGAAAAGGCGGAACCAATCGGCTAATGTTATCTTTGGTCACACCTCAGTGTGGCTAGTCTCAGAGAAAACATTCGATCAGAAATCGTGCACAATACTCTTGCATATGCTCAAATCCTTCGCAATTTTCCTAGTTCTCACCCCCTAATGCATAAGGGTGGGCCAAGGAAGAGTGCGAGAAGATCCCTGCAAATGTTTGCACTAACCTCGTAAAAAACATGCCTAGGAGGGTGCGGGTGGTGATCAAGGCTAAGGGTCGGTGGAGTAGGTACTAGAAACGCTGTTCAGAAGTTAGCTCTTTGTCATGGGAAACAATTGTTTGGATGCACTCTTTGTCTATCTTTTGGCACTAATTGAGATCCAGTGTACTATTATGGATTTTAGCGTTGTTAACAGATCCACTATGTGTCCCTCCCAAAGCGTACCACCATTAAACATTAAGACTTTATGTACAGTGGTCGAAAAGCCCAAAAAGTCTAATTAATGCAAAACATCAGAACAATTGTTTCCGTCACTAGACACCATCACCTCCAGCCAGTGGACGTTTTGCTTTCGGGCCCGATGGGGCCTGACTCGTCGAGTTAGATGAAGATGGGCCAGAAGTTGGTTGAAGGTAAGTCGTGCTTGCATGAATCGTCCTCGTTTTACACTAATCTATTCTTTTAGTGTGCATAGACTAACCTGTGTCCCTTGTTACATGCAGATATGCGGGAGAAGAGTGAGAAGTTAAGGGAAGTCTTCTGTCAAATGTGGCTGCTCAACAAGTACAGCTCGATCTCATTTTGAACGCAAACTAGACTTCGATCTTCATCAAAATGCCCTAGGAGCGGATGCTGGAGCACAAGGGGTCACGCACGGTCCCTGTGCGGACCGCGGGCTACAAGAAGGAGCAGGTCACCATCATGCAGGCGATGACCATTTTGGTCCTGAAGCTCTCGGCCTTCAAGAAGAAGACCCTCCCAAAGGTTCAGGTTCCTCCAGGTGAATCTTCGGTGGCTAGGTTCTTTGACACCTTTGCCGTCTGAATTCCCCCTGGTTTCTTGGCCGTCTGAATTCCCCCTGGATTCTTTGTGAAATTTTCTCCAATGCTATCCACTAACTATCCTTCGTGTATGCCTGTAGGTGCTGTCATCTGAGCCCAACCGAAGGGCTGGACGGGCAAAGGGCTTGTCCAAGACTGGACTACTCAAGTCCTCAACCCTTTCTTCCGACCTTTGCAAGGCCGCAGCAACTGGCGTAAGGAGGCTCTCATGATACTCGACTCCTACAAAGGCCATCTCACGCAGGCCGACGGGCAGACCATGAAATTGTGCAAGCTGACGCACGCGGTCATCCCTAGTGACTGCACCCCGCTAATGCAGCCGCTGGACGTTCCGGTGATCAAATCCTTCAAGGCCGGTGTTAGGAGCGACTACGGTGGCTGGTTCAAGACCACCGGCATCGAGCAAAAGATGAAGCAGGGTGACTCATTAGTAGCGGCTTGTGTACCGCTCTTTCACCTTTTAAATCCCCACCTTGGCTGACTCTTCTCGTGTTTGAATTCCCCGCAGGCAATCTCAAGAAGCCCCCGGCCAAGCTAATCCTTAAGTGGATAGCTCGCAGCTGGGCCGCCGTGCCAAAGGAGCTGGTGCGGAAGTCGTTCAAGACGTGCGGCATCTCGAACGACTTGGACGGCTCGGAGGACAACCTGATCCCGAGCCACCTCCGTGGCAAGCCCAAAGTTGAAATCTTCAACGACGTGCATGTTGAAGAGGGTAAAGCAGAGTACATCAACCCCTTGTTTGGCAACAGCATCGAGCCTCTTGCTGAGGGTGACACCAAAGACGACGATGAAGATGAGGCAGGCACAATTACAGAGGAGCCCGTGCTAGACGGCTCGGCGGACAATGACGCAAAGGCCTCCGAGGAGGCTGGAACAGAAGAGGCAATGAAATGGCTGGCAGAAGGCATTGCTGGAGATGACGAGGACGATGGCTGGTGGGATGAGATTGCAGAGGGCAGCGATGTGGAGATGTGGGTTGTAGGTGGGGATGAAGACGAAGCTGAAGACACTGCAGACGACTAGGGTTCACTATGTTGCAGCCGTCCATATCATGGGCCCTAGAAAACCCCTGCATTGATAGGAGTACTGATCGTAGAGTGCTCTGTCATGTTGGTGGCGGTCCTGAGTAGTGATGGTAGTGATCATAGAATAAGAATAAAAAGTAGTGTTGTGCAAACTCTTGGTATTTTGGGTTGCAGCGCAATGCCTCCAATGTTGACTGCTAAAAATGCCATGTGATTAGCAAAAATCTATAGAAATCCAGTGCAAATGAGCTAGAGGGGTGGTGCCAAATCTAGGGTGGTATGAATATCTTGTTTAATGAAGCACCCAGGTCCGCCCAAAGCACCCATGAGTGATTAATTCTGACGGGTGTTTTGTTCGGGGGAGTGCAATGCATTCCTACTACTGCATTTGTAGCACATGGTACTTACAGGTTGCATTTCTGTCCCTAGAGGTACCCTCTAGCATAGCAACCACGAAGACACCCAGCAGCCTCAGCATAGTGGCAGGTTGGGAGCCTCCCCAGGAGCAACCACTCAGTTCCTGCCATTGACCCCTCCACAAAACCTAGGGGTACTCTTCTTGCACAGTCTTGGGCTGAGAACAGCCCAGGGATCTTTGGTAGAGACTAAGTCCTTTGTAGGTAGAGTGCTTGATAGCATAGCGACAGCCTGAATTGAAACCTTATACAGATGTGTGCGAACAAGTGATCATTATAGCAAGGAGATACAAGGACTTATAAGTTTTTTTTCCAAGAGAATATGAAGAGTCTAACTAACTCGGCACTGTAGCAGCCGCCGCAGCAGCAGCAATCGCCACAGCAGCCCCAGCAGCAGCAGCGGCCGCAGTCTGCTCTTCGTCTCCTTGGTCTTGTATCTGGTTCCCCTGACCGACCGCCCGTCGCTCCTTCGGTGCGTTACCCTGTTTATGGCCCGCTGTTTCCTCCCCCGAGCTCCTCTCCAGCTCGTTTCCCCCTGCGCTCTCCCCCGTCCCCTGACTTGTCCTCCTACGCCCCTCGTCCCCAGTCCCCAAGTCTTCCCCTCTGGGTCCATCGTCCCTCTGGGGCTCGTCTTGTCTATCCCCGTCCTAGTGTCCACCCTATGGTCCTTCGTTCTCGTGCTCCTCTAGTCCCAATGCTTCCGTTACATCCTCCATCATCGCTCCCGTAGTCCTCTGCTCCTCCCTTTGACCCTGCTCGGACAGCTCGTCCTACCCTCTTGCGCTCACTTGCGTCGCTTGTTACTGACCCGACTGCTCCTCCTGAGACCGTCTTTGCGCTTGTCGCTGCTATCGCTGACTCTGCTGCTAGCCACCGCCTTGCCTACACTGCCGCTCACGTTTCTCGTACTGCCTGTTCTCCGTCCGTTGGGGGTGCACCTGCCCTTGGCAGTAACATGCTAGAGGATAGGCAGTACGAGCTAGCCTACCTTGCTGCCGCTGTACCCCATCTCTGCTCCATGCTTGTATCCCCAGAGGGCGACCCAGTCACCCTCGAAATCCCTGTCGCGCGCTCTTACACAGAGGCAATGTCGGGGCCCTGGGCAGCCCACTGGATACAGGCCATAGAGGCTGAGATGGCATCCTACAGATCCACAAGCACTTACGTCGATGCAGTCCCCCTACCTAGGGCGAACGTAGTCGATGGCATGTGGACCTATAGGGTGAAGTGTGAACATGAA